GGTTACCAAAGGCTACCAAAGATTACCAAAGGGTACCAAAGGTTACCAAAGGCTACCAAAGGTTACCAAAGGCTACCAAATATTGCCAAAGGCTACCAAAGGTTACCAAACATTACCAAAGGCTACCAAACATTACCAAAGGCTACCAAAGGTTACCAAAGGCTACCAAAGGTTACCAAAGACTACCAAAGATTACCAAAGGCTACCAAACATTACCAAAGGCTATCAAAGTTTAATAAAGGCTACCAAACTTTACCAAATGTTACCAAAGGTTACCAAAGGTTACCAAAGGTTACCAAAAGTTACCAAAGCCTACCAAAGATTACCAAAGGCTATCAAAGGCTACCAAAGATTACCAAAGGCTACCAAACTTTACCAAATGTTACCAAATGTTACCAAATGTTACCAAAGGGTACCAAAGGTTACCAAAAGTTACCAAAGGCTACCAAAGATTACCAAAGGCTATCAAACATTACCAAAGACTATCAAAGGTTACTAAAGGCTACCAAACTTTACCAAATGTTACCAAAGGTTACCAAAGTCTACCAAAAGCTACAAAAGACTACCAAACATTACCAAACGTTACCAAAGGCTTCCAAACATTACCAAGGGCTACCAAAGGCGACCAAAGTTTACCAAAGGCTACCAAACATTACCAAATGTTACCAAAGTCTACCGAAGGCTACTAAACATTACCAAGCTTTACCAAAGGCTGCCAAAGATTACTAAAGATTATCAAAGGCTACCAAACATTACCAAAGGCTACCAAAGGTTACCAAAGGCTAGCAGATGCCCTGTTCATAAAAACAGCACTACACACTAAATGTATACAGCTTGCCGTATTGTGCCACAACGTATTTCGCACTACATAACTGCAAGTAGCTCATGGGATAAGGGCTCAACAATGAATGGCCTCTACCCTGAACTAAACCAGTCCCTTGCCCAGGACTACAGCTGTAGCTTCAAGGGAAATTAATTTCTAAAACCTCTTTCTGAGCCAGATCCCAAGTAGTCAATGGTGAGCCAGGTCTTTAAAGAAGCAACTCAACGTTGGTGTCCTCGCAGGAAAATTTGCTTTGTGGACAATTGAAAATGGATTTAAAAGGTCTCAAACTCAGCAACCAGAGGACCATGGACAATAGACCGAGCCCTAGTTGAGACTCATTTAAAAAAGTAAAGGACAGGGCAGTTTGAGAGTCAAAAGAGCTGTCTCTTTTCGATGAGCTGAGCCAAATGTTCAAGGTCCAAGGACATAACCATGGATTCCATCACTAGCCCCATAACTATCCACACCTCTGGTACCCACCCGCTATAGCTGAGTGCAAATCTGATGGGTCCAGTGGCTCTGAGCCTTCTCTTTGGTCTCTCTCATCATTAGAGTGCAATACGAGAACTCAGTCCTGTGACTACCACCAATTGTTTGTTTAATACAGCTCTTTCAGACATCCACACCATGTGACTCTTAAACCCTCAGCTGCAGTCAGCTCTTCTCTGTCCTAATCCTTCCTGAGCCATAGCTCACTACAGAACTTTAAGACCAACCAGATGAAAACCTGACATGTAGCCGATGAGCAACTGAAGGATGATACATCCCTCAGGGTCCTGTTTCAGGCCCATTGAGGATTTTCCTCGGTTTCATTAAAAACAAGACTTTCAAATAGTTTTCATCTGCTGAACAAAATGTTTTAGAAAAACTTCTACTTTTGTCCATCTTGTTGTTGTTTTTTTTAAGCATGCACTACATAAAATGCTGTCATGCACAGAAAATGAATGTAAAAGAAAACAAAGTTCAACTAATAACTTCCAGAGAGTCATGATCTTTTGACTAAGATGACTTTAAAAGATTTAAAAAGCCTTGTTGATTTGAAGTATTTCTGTTTCGTCAGATCCTAATATAATAAACAATTTTTCTGCCACACCAGACGCTTACATAACGTTGTACTCTGACCGTGTCAAACAGTCCACAGTCTGAACGAGCTAGTCTTTGACCTGCAGTAACCTCAGTCTGACCCAGCATTACACAGTGAAAAGTGAAAAGACAGATTTGTGATTAAAAAGAGACGTGCTGATCAAAGACGGCGGGACACTTTGTCTTTGTAGTTGATCAGTGCAGCTGCAGATTTATGGGCCTGATGTGTTTTCCTCTTTTTGCAGGTCGCTGCATTTATTGCTGAGTCATTGCAGAGTTGTGGCGGGCAGGTCATTCCCCCCTCGAGTTACTTCCAGCAAGTGGCCAAGTACGTACCAACACATTCACACGCTTAGAGAAGAATGTGGTTTTAAAACCAATACAAATAGAACGTTTGTGATCCAAGCTGCAGAACGAGTCGTGTGAGCTCAGCCTGCAGAACAAAAAGCAAGAAAATATTCATACATGAGATTAACTCGGAGGAGTGGTGGCGCAGAGGTTAGAAGATGGGCCTGTGATCAGAAAGTCGCAGGTTCAACTCCCGGTACCGTCAACATCAAACACCCACATTTGCCTCCACCCCCATTCGCCCCACTCTGGACCCCTGAGCAAGGCCCTTAACTCCCACCATCTGCTCCTAAACAGGTCTCTCTTGAAAAAGAGTTCTCGTGACTCACTGAGACTACCTGGATAAATAAACAGTACATGAAAAAAAAAACTTATCAACATATAATCTGTTTAATCTACCTTTAACTTGAAGTTTTTTGACAAGCATGTCTACAATAATAACCTTTTTATTTCAAACTTTTTAAAATTTTATTTGGAATTGACTATTTTCGTGCAGAGAAATCCCATCATATAATGTTTGTTGTCATTGTAAAGCCTAAGAACTGCCCTTTGTAAAAATAGGACTTCATTTACCCAACGATGTCGCTCTAAACCAATAAAATTTAACTTTAAAATTAAATTGCCAAAAGATAAATTGCTTAATTTCTACAAACTACGGATCGCTCTGAAGCTTTTAGATGAGAGGACGAGGAAACAAGAAAAGTGATGCACAACGATTCACAGAACAAAAGGCAACAATTTGAAGAATGTGGCATTAATTCTGGAGGGACTTCAACATTTCAATTAAAGAATTAAAGGGTTCATTAAACGTGATCATAGTTAGCTGATCCTCTTTATAGTTGTATCTTGTGAAAATGTGTTTCTTATTATTATTCTTTCCTTTATGTTTTGTTGTACAACTTAAATAAATTGTATTTAATAGAAAATAAATGAATGAAACTTTAATTGTTCCTTTATTGTGAAATCAAAAGTTGTTGCAGAAGAAGTTTCTTCATCAGGTTTCCGTGTCCTGAAAGTTTTTACGCACACATACACGTTCCTTCACTTTTGACTTAAGGTGATGATGAGTTATAACACTTAGCTACTCTAAAACATAAAAGATAAATGTAGATACAAAGTGTGTCTGTGCAAAATATGTTTGTGTAAAATAGTCTTAAATATCCAAAAATAAGAAAGAATAGACATTTAATAAGAATTATTGCATAACAAGCAGAGCATTTATTAAGATCCTGGATGATTGTTTTGAAAGAAAGGAGTGAATTCATGAATGCCCCCCCCCCCCGATTGTTGCTGTTTTTCCACCCATCTTCAGGCACGTTCATGAAGCAGGAGGCATCTTCATCGCCGATGAAGTCCAGGTGGGCTTCGGCCGCGTCGGCTCTCACTTCTGGGCCTTCCAGCTTCAGGGGGAAGACTTCGTTCCCGACATCGTCACAATGGGGAAGCCCATCGGTAACGGGCACCCCATGTCCTGCGTGGTCACGAGCAGAGAGGTGGCCGAGGCCTTCACCTCCTCCGGGATGGAGTATTTCAACACCGTAAGAGAGACGCCTTTAGCCTTTGTTGTCACATTTTTTAATGACTTTATACACAATCATACGTGATTTTTTTTTAATATTTTTTTAATAATGTGCTAGTTCTCTGAGTTTGTGTTGGGGGTGACTCTCAGCTACTACCACACCAAATTTAAGATCAATATCTATAACACTAACTGAAACAATGACATTTCTGTGTTTTCCTGAATACAAGTTTAAGCCGTTTTGGATTAAGTTGACTCCAAAATAAAGTTTTAGATTCCCATTTGCAACTTTTTAAGCGTTTCATTAGAATGTGTCATGAGATATTTTGCTAACAGACAAACAAACAGACACAGGTGATACATAATCACTCTCCTTTCTGCAGCAGGTGGTTAAATATAAATGAAATGATTGCAGAAGCAGAGTGAAGGAAAGACTATGCTGGTTTTCTTTTTGGGGCTGGGTCATTCTGTCAAGCCCAGTGAATCAACACGTTTTCCTTTTTACAGAAACAAACTCATCTAAACGACACGCTGCTAACCAGATGTTTCTAGATCTGCTGTGAGATGAACAAATTCAGCTCTCCTGGGCTCCAAACAACATTTCCCGAGTGACAGGGAGTGAAAATCGAATCCCATTGTGTTGTTTTGTGTGTTCTGGCTTCAGTTTGGCGGTAACCCCGTGTCATGTGCCATCGGTCTGGCCGTCCTGGACGTGATTGAGAAGGAGGACCTGCGGGGAAACGCTCTGCGTGTGGGGCGCTACTTGACCGAGCTGCTGGAGAAGCAAAAGGACAAACATCCGCTGATCGGAGACATCAGGTGAGCCGACCTGAACACGACATGAAGACCTCTGATGTAAACCAAGACATCTGTGCCCCGTTCTGGAAAAATGAGTTACACTGAGGAATCAAAATCAACCTTTATTGTCATTACACAGAAGCACAACAAAATTACATTTCAGTACAGCTGTCCAAAGAAAACATGGGTAGACGGGGATGCCTGAGGCTGCAGCCTCGTGTGAAGCGCTGCCCTTTTCATTTAGATAAGGAAAACATGAGGAAAGAGGAGGTATAAAAAAAAAATCATATCTCACACTGTCCTTGACTGGACAGTGTGAGGTTGCAAAAAAAAAATTGCAATGTTTAATTATTTTTAAATTCTCCATCTCCAAAGGTTCAAAATCAACTGTAGTTTGTTGACGGTTCAAGTTCAAGGTTCTTTATTGTCATTCACATCACATGTGGTACATGAGGTGGAATGAAATTGTGTACTCAAGGTCCCAGTTACACCCCAAAATATCAAAACTATAAAGTATAAAAGAAGCAGTATACAAGTATCTAAGATATACGCTAAACACTAATAATGTAAAATAATACAGTATATTGAACAGCAGCTCAAACACGAGTCTGTAGTGAGTAGATGGCTATGAATGAATACAGCACCATGGATAATCAGCAGCATGGATAATCAGCAGCATGGATAATTGGCAGCATGGATAATCGGCAGCATGGATAATCGGCAGCATGGATAATCGGCAGCATGGATAATCGGCAGCAT